CCCTCCTCCCCACGCCATCCAAGGAAATCCATTTCCTTTGGGGAAATACTGAATAAGCTGCTCAGGTGTGTGGAGGGGGGGCAACGCCCCCAGAGGGTGTGCTCCCATGCCGAGAGGTGCTCTCTACACTGCCTTCTAAGGCTGGACTGTGCTGAGTGCAGGGTACAAGCCTGGGCTCTGGACTGAATTGCTCAAGGTCATTAAGAAGTTGGAGAGGTTGCAAACAGGTAAGAGGAAGGGAAGGAAAATGAGGGAGCTGGTAGCCAGCTGGGGACTTTGGGGGGACAGCAGGGAGGCCTAGTGGGGATTTTACTGAGAGGGCATGTCGGATAATTTCACTTCCCCAGGTCCCCATGACAGCTTCGGCTTTGTGGTGTGAGATCGATGTCCATGTTGGAAGAATGCAGGGATATGCTGAGTTAGCCTCATCGGGAGACGAGGAGGAGTCGAGGCTGTGATCGGGAGGCTCACCTCCACTCAGCATCCCACAGTTACTGAGCCCCCGGGGGCCAGGCCCTGTGTGAGGGCCCAGGAACAGCGCCCTGCAGAGGCCGCTGCCTCTTAGGCCTCTGAGGGAGGATTCCGTGGATGAAGACTGTGCTTAGGTGCCAGCCTTACGCTGAGATGAACAGCAGATTCCTGCAAAGCTGAGTAGACTGCCCCATCCTGAGAGGCATTTTCTGGCTCTAATGCTGTACGGAGCAAGGAGTCAATTAATTAATAAAAGTACTATCACAAAAATTTGAGAACCTATTAAGTGAGAGTCACAGGCTTGAAACGGCAATATGTCCCCTGCCCTATTTTACATTAAATTGTCAAAATAAGAGAATAATATAGAATAAGTACAAAGTGTGACAGGAGGTATGAAGGAAACCAGAAAGACAGGGGATAAATGTTTGTGTGAGAGGGGAGAACTCACTTAGTAAGAGGGCTAGATAAAAGCCTCTCTGAGGGGACATATTTATGCTAAGAGCTGAGGCTCACACAATGAGACAAAGCCAACCTTACACACACACACACACACACACACACACACACACACACACCCAAAACAGGGAAAGTGTTATTGGCAGAAGAGACAGCACGTGCAAAGGCCCTGAGACAAGACGGCCTTTTTGTATTCGAGGAACTGGAAGAAGACCAGTGTGGCTGGAGTGTGGTGAGCAAGCAGAAAATGACACTTAAATCTTAAATCACAGGGTAGGGTGAGGGTGTCTGCTGCAAGTGCATGAGAGAAATGTGGGCAAGAACGCGAGATTTGGCTACTCAGGAAAGCCCCAGAGCCAGGAAAGGATGAAACCTGCCAGGAGAGGCAAAGGCCCACTGGGAGCGCTCAAGAGCAGCTCCAAGTCCCGCTCCACCCACTCCAACCAACCTCTACCTGCCGCTCCCCCCGCCCCGCCCCGCCCCGCCCCCGTAGGTGCCTAGGTATCGCCTTTCTCTCCTCCGGGCTCCCCCCTAGGGAGCAAGCTTGGCGTTGGCCCCACAACCCCAGCACCCGTGGTCGGAAGCGAGACCGTGGTTCTTGCCCCGGGTCTCCGCGGTCCCCTCGGTTCGAGGGGACACCTTTCTAGACTTTCCTCAGACGAAGCTGGGATGTCCTCTTGACCCTGGGCTCCCCCTCCACCGTCCCACACACACTCGGATTTGAGACCGACCCTGAAGCCATCTCTGCCCGCGGAGAGCAGAGAGCAGGCAGAAGCGCCCTGGCTTACCTGGGCAGCCACCTAACGACCAGGGCAGGCCTACCTAACCTCCCCACCCCCCCGTTTTCTTTTAATTTACTACCAGGTCTTGTGGGACCCACAACCGATGGAAAAGAGAAGGCAGCCCAAGAAACGCACCGCGAGGCACGCGCCCACACAGTGCTAGGCTCGGGCGCCCGCCCCCGCCAGTAGACGCTGGGACCCACGTCCCCGGGATCCTCTGGGACCCTCCGCAACCCTCTGGAATCCCCGCGTGGCCCCACGAGGAGAACCTCGGGGTTGCCAGCCACCTTCAGAGGCGGACGCGCTGGACCACCCGAGATCCCAGGGGGCAGGTCGCCGCGGGGGCGGGCCATCAGTTACAGCGTCTGGGAATTCTTGCTCCTCCGCAGGCGCCCTCCGCCGGAGACACTTAAAGAAGCCTGAGCCCGCGGAGTCCGCGTCGACCAGCCGTCAGCAACGACAAGGAGAAACCTGGCTGTCACAGCAGAAACGGAGACGCTGTGTCTTTGGCAGAAGCCGCCTGGAACCCCGGCCGGCCGGGACCCGGGCTATCTGCAGCCCAGCTGGCCAGCAAGTACTTTTGCGCAGCTGGTGGCGCTGCACGTCCTCTCACAGGACTTCCCCAGTCATCAGAAAAAGCTGTCGACCAGTTCCTTCGTCCTGCCAGTCCCTTCATCTCCTTGTGATTCCAGCCCCACAGTGGGCACGTGTTCCTCCCCGCGAAGAACAGTATCTGCTCCGCGGGGACACGGTTCCGCAGCTCCGCGTTCTCTGCAAGGCGCTGGCGGCGTAGTTGGGTCGCTGCGCGCCGGGACCCTGGAGACTCCTCTGGGCCTGCTCCGGGCGGGCGTGTGTTACCTCTCTAAGGTCTGGTTCACGAGCCCCTGGGGGAGAGAATGATGGGATGATGGGAGCAGTCTGGGTGGAGGAAGGCAGCACCGTAGCAGGAGCATAGCACCAAGCATGTCGACTTCTGCACTCTTTACCGTGGCTGTGAACTTGGTGGGTCTGATGGTCCCAAGATTGTAAAGTGAAGATAATAATATTAATAACCTACTTCTTTGTCCTGTTATGAGAAGAGCAGTCTGGGTGGAGGAAGGCAGCACCGTAGCAGGAGCATAGCACCAAGCATGTCGACTTCTGCACTCTTTACCGTGGCTGTGAACTTGGTGGGTCAGTTTACTGATGCTCCCAAGATTGTAAAGTGAAGATAATAATATTAATAACCTACTTCTTTGTCCTGTTATGAGAATTGAATGAGACGGTGGAGGTAAAGCTCTTAGAACAGTACAGCTCCGAGCAAGCACTCCACCGCCGATGGCTGTAATAGTGATGACAGTGCGACTCCTTGGAAGAGTCGGGTGCATTTGCTGACAACTTACTCAGCCTAAGCCCCCATGTCGCCAGTGTCCCAGGCTGGTCTGCAAAGGAGGACAGGCGCTCAACACATGTTATCTTACTGAAAAGAGCTGGAAATAATGGTCAATTGAGTCGCAAGGAGCACCTTAACAGCCCAGATTGTGGCGTATAAATACTTATGTCTGCAAAAAGTGACTAGAGCTCCCCTGAGAAATGACTGATTGTAGGTCTGGGGCGGAAAATATTCAAAATTTTCTTGGAACATTTTCTCCTGCCAGAAAGTAAAGAAGCTATCAAAGAGCACTAGGGTTGTGTGCAAAGATCTCACAAACTAAATTGGCCCCTACAGCTCCAAGTTCAGACATTTAAAAAAATGTTTAAATGTGCTCAAGCAAGGTAGCAGTCAGACATACTTTTGGTAATGTGATAGTCTCTGACTTACTATTCACTGTATTTTTTTTAAATTTTAGATAGAGTGCAAGGGAGGGAAAAAGCGAGGGACAGAAACATCGCACCCCAACGCACAGAGACCGAAACCCAGGCATGTGTCCTGACCAGGAATTGAACAGGCTATCCTTTGGTTTGTGGGATACCGCCATGCAGGCCAGGGCAAAGGCCAGACATTTTTTTTTATATTTTCTTTAAAGATTTTATTAATTTGTTTTTAGACAGAGGGGAAAGGGGGTGAAGAAAGGGAGAACAATATCCATGTGTGGTTGCCTCTCGAGTGCCCCCTACTGGGGGCCTGGCCTGCAACCCAGGCGTGTGCAGTGACTGGGAATCAAACCTGCCACCCTCTGGCTCACAAGCAGGCACTTAATCCAGTGAGCCACACCAGCCAGAGCTAATTTAGATTTTTATTTTTCAAAAATATGGAGAGGATGAGGAACATAGTAATGACACCATGGGGATGAAATTAGCAATATTTATTCTGTGAGAAAACTCACAGGATGAAAAATCCAGTTCTCCAATTTTAAATAATTGCAGGAATAAAAAGAGGGAGAAAGAAACTACAGATTAAAAGAAACACAAAAGACAAAAGAATTGTTCCAGCTATCTAAACTTGTGTAAAAAAATCATTCCCAAACTTAGTGTCTTAAAACAACAGCAACGTTACATTTTCTTGTGAGTCTGTAATTTGGGAAGGGCTCTTCAGGACAATTCACCTTTACTCCACGGCAATGACATCAAGGTTCGGGATCGGAATCTTCACTTCTATATCACCTGTTGCCATGTTTTATTACAGTCAGCCTTGAAACGTCACTTAGCTGTTTCATGTGACTAAGGCTGTCTCCCAATTAAGCTGCTAGAGAAAAAGGGCTGGACTATACATGATTTTTTTACATTCCACTTGATGCCCAGGCACAATGGTCTAAATGTGCTTCCCTCCAGTTTATACGCTGAAACCGAATCACCAGTGTGATGGTATTTGGGCATGGTCAGGTCATGAAGGAAGAACCCTCATGAATGCTCAATGCTCTTATAAAAGAAGCCCCAGAAAGATCGCTCACCCCTTCTGCCATGTGAGGTTACAGCTAGAAGATGCTGGTTATGAACCACGTGGTGGGCCTTCACCAGACTCTGCATCTGTTGGTGCCTTGCTCTTGGACTGCCCATCCTTCAGAAATGTGGCAAATAAATTTGTTGTTTACAAACCACCCAGTCTATAGTATTTTGTTACAGCAGCCCGAACGAACTAAGACACCAGGTCAGGGCTTTAATGCAGTAAGCGTTCAATAAATATGAGATGGTATGTTAAGGTAGATATTCCCTTCTTCTCTAAGCCTTTTCCCCCCTCCCTCTTTGCTGAGGCCAGACCAACACTTTATAAGTAGATGGAGAGACAGAGTGCTTTGCAGAGAAATGAACAGTTGCAGTGAATGATCGGCACAGGATTTTTGCAGAGGCTAAAGCTTTTATTCTAACTAGGAGTCATTTTCTTTCTGAAGATAGTTTCGAGTCCTTAGTGAAGAGGATGGCCTCATTGATGCTCTCAGTGATGTAATCTATGTTGCAAGCGTTGATGCAGGTGAAGTTAATCCGACTGTTCTTGGGGATGTAGACATGTTTCTTCTTGACCATGTATTCCACCTGTGGCACTGGTGATAATCATAGGGTCTCAGATCCTGGGGTGGCCACCTCTAAGTCCCCTCTAGCCAAGGCAGATTATGGGGGATATGGGAGAGTAAGCATTTGGGGGGGGGTGCATAGCCAGAGGGGTCTTCAAAGCAGCTTCACTTTCCTCAAGGAAGAATCAAAATCTGGTGTGAAGCTAGGGATTGGTCACCTAGTCAGCGACGTTTAATATTCAAATACAAGCCCAAGGTCAGAAAGGGGAGAGCTATCCCCTCCTAGATACTTACAGTTGAGTCCAAGGTAGCAATGGGTCCCACTCTGGTTGGTGATGTGATCCCAGGAGCCAGGGGTTCCTAGGAGCCGGAGCTTCTCCTTAACCTTTTCCTTAATCAGCATGATGTCCTCTACAATCTCTTTCAGACTCTGCTTCCTGCCAAAGGTAGGGCAGCAAAGAATTAGAGTGTGAGGTCTGCCCCTGCTCCCAACCTCCTCATTGCCTTTCCACTCCTCTTCCCTGCAGAAGCCCCCAGCCAGAGCGCTGCAGGGCACACTAGTGGAGCCAGTTATGAACCGGTTATGAATAGGAGAAAAGCTTCAGCCTGTATTAATTCAAGCAAGCTAATCAGACTCCTAGCAGACTTTGCCAGAGCAGCAAGCCCTTGAGGCTTCCTAATCTCCTGCAATCTGGAAGAGTTCAAATAATTTATCAGCCTGTGTCCCCAAAGAATGTCCTATTACCTACTTCCCTGTAGTAGGGCAAGCATTAGCATAGTCACTGTCATAGGAACACAGTGGGTCCTCAGTAATGTTGATGAATGAATGGAGTGAAGGGGCAACAGAGGCAGGAGAGAAGCACCCAGCAGAATCCTGACGATCAGGACGTCTGTAGGTATCCAGAGGCTCTGCCCATCCCTCCCTGCCCCCACCCTTCACCCTTACCAGGCTTCCTGCAGAGCAGAGTTACAGAGGATGGAGGTGATAATGCGGGCACCGCAAGTAGGAGGGTTTAGCCACAGGGCCAGAGCTAATTTCACCAGCTGGGAGAGGACGCACAGCAGGAGCTGGTTGTTGAGCGCCACCACGACTAGGAGCCCCACTCCTTCATCTGCAGCATTGGGAGAGACAGCCTCGTTCTCAGTGTCTTCCACCCCTACCAGGGCTTTCCCTGTCACTCTGCCTCCAGCCTCGAAGAAGAGCAGGGTACCCTACAGGGCCATCAGCTCAGCCCAGCCAAGTTGGTGCCCAGGACCCCAGAAGTCACCCAAGGCTCTTCTTCCAGAAAGGGTAGCCGTAAGAGTCTCAGAGGTGGGAGGGACTAGAAAGAGAACTAATCTTAACCCCTCATCTTATTGATGGGAAAAGGGGCCTAAGGGGAGAAACAGCGTAATGGGCACCAGTTTGACTAACTGAGCTAAGATGATACCAAGAACCCGAAGTCCACCTCTCCTCTTGGGTCTCCACGCTGCTCTCTCTCTCTCGGTCTCAGCTCTCTCCACGGGGTAAGGGATGTCAAACAGCACTCTCACCATGGGCGTGGCACCACCTCAGCACCAGACCTCCCTTCTCCCTCCACCCATACCATACCATAAATGCCAAAATTCTTGGACAGCGACTGGCTGCAGAAGAACTCCAAGCCTCCAGACACAAAGTATTGTAAGAATCTAGTATCTTCTTCCACGTCACCGGTGAATAAACCTTGACTGGGAATGTCAAAAAATGGGAATATCTGCTTCTTCTGTAGGAGAAAGGAGAATGAGAAGGATGAGCCCGAGGAAGGTGATGGTAGATGGAAAGAAAAGTCGGGCAAGACATCGGGCTCACCTTCATGGTGGCCATCAACTTCTCCCACTGACACTGCGTCAGCTTGCAGTTGCCCATGTTCCCGATCACAAAGACACAGCCATGCGGGGCCTGCTGCAGGTAGAGACTGTCTCGTCAGGCACTGCCCGTCCCGAGTGGTAGTGGCACCAAGGTGTGTGGAGGAGAAGTTACCCTCCACATTGGTTCCTACCACAGGGCTAGACAAATCCAAGCCTAGAAAAGGCCTTGGATTATCAGAGGGGTGGGGAGGAAAGGAAAATAAAACTGTAAATCAGGTCTGGGGGGAAGGTCCTGAGGGGGCCCCCTCTACCTTCACCACGTTGAGGAACATGTCGGGGTCCATGCACAGCTCCTTGGAGTTCCAGAAGCAGTGTTCATAAACTGTAAAGCCCAGGTCCTGGAAGATGAGTCCGTGCTGTTCTGTGGGAACACAGCCCCCCACCAGCTGGTCCGTGGGCAATGGAGAGATGGAGGCAGACACAACAGGGAGTGGGCCTGAGGGTCACTGGGTGAAAGTGGGGCTGTGGCAGGAAAGGACAAGCGTACCCCCGCTTATCCCCCATTTGTCATGACAGAGAGTGAGAAGGACAACAGTGAAGATTGTGAATGGGGTGGGAATTAGGAACAGGGGACAGGGATCTTCTGTCACCCTCATCTTGCATAGCACTCACCTCTTTGAGAAGAAATGATGTAAACTATTTGAGAATCCTGACGCCAAGTTTTGAGGAACTGGGCCCCAAGTTGGAAAGCGCCACTGTCACCAACTGTATGTATACCCCCTACCTGCCAGCAAAAAGTAAACAGAAATAACAGGTTAAAAGATTAATGGTGCCCCAGCTAGTGTGGCTCAGTGGACTGAGTGCCAGCCTGTGAACCACAGGGTCGCTGATTCAATTCCCAGTCAGGGCACATGCCTGGGTTGTGGGCCAGGTCCCCAGTGGGGTGTGCGTGAGAGGCAACCACACACTGGTCTTTCTCTCCCTCTCTTTTTCCCTCCCTTCTCACTAAAAAAAATATATATATATGTATATTTTATATATATATTAAAAAAAAGAGTAGTGGTGATACTAGTGCCACCTTAGATTCAGGGCCTTCTTTTCCAGCCAGAGCTTGCATATCAGCAGTGTGGGCTGGCTCCAGGAGCATGGGTTCTGGGTTCTGATGCTGGCTCTGCCCTTCAGGGACAAACTTTGGACTCTGTGAGCCTCAGGTGTCTCCCTTATCAGCGCCAGGGGGCCCTCCGCAGTCCCTTTCAGGTTTAAGACTGTGCAATCTCTGACCTCCACTCCATGTGTCTGGGTGAGCAAAGAACAGGCCCTTCTTCTCACCCTGTTCTCCATGATGACCCGGCTGTGCCTTCCAAAGAGGAGTTCCAAGCAGGCCTGGATGAACGCTTTCATGCCCTTCACCGGCATGTACTCATAGTTGAGGGAGGGATCCTGCGCAATCTGCAGGCGGGCCTTGTGCACCACGGGAGCAGTCCAGGGCTGGCCCTCGCTGGTCATGCAGACTGTGAGAAGAACCGCAGAGGGCGCTCTGGAGGCCGGGCCTGGGCGCTCGGCAGACTGCCCGCAAACGCTCCATCTGTCCTGGCTTTCTCAGGGCTTTGGAAAGTTGCCTAGGAAAAGACAACTTTCCTTTTTTTCCTCTCTTTTATAAAAATAATGCACTGTTAGTCGATGTGTATAATTTTTGTCTTTTTAAAGACAACGGAAACCTATGCCATTTTAAAGGGTAAAAATGATATACACAACCTGGGAATTACAGATACCCGAGATTAAACAAAGGTAACGTTGACTTTCACAGTGGCAAGGGCTGGCTGTGCATCTTAAGTGTCCATTTTGGGAACCGTTCTTGGCTGAGGAACGGAGCGGGAGTGGAGGAAGAGGCGGAAGAAAGTGTCGAGCCCATGCAGGCCCCACCCAGTGCTGGCGAAGTGGATATACTAGAGCTTATATCAAGTATCTGGAAGCCCCCAGAGAAAGGCAGAATGGCCAGGACATTCTCTGCTCTTTTCCCCACTGGGCAATTTGGTTAACAAGAACGGACCTATCTCCCGATTCCTCTGCGGCGATGGAATACTGCCCCCTAAAGGCAATTATGATGTACTAAGTCTTAGGCATCTACCTTTATAGGCCAAGAATATCTTGTTAGGGCTATCGTCTTGTTTGAAGGCCTTTAACAAGAGGCCTTCCACCTTCTGGGCTAGAGGCACATCCAAGAATACTGAAAGGGTGGACATCACTGGGATGAAGGTAGAACCAAGACTATGGCTCCACTCCTGTGTTCTCTCCTGCTTCTGGCCAAAGCCTTCCTCTAAGCCGGAGCCACACAGGCCTGCCTCTTCCCAGAACCGTGGCAGCTCCGATGCAGAGGCCCCAGACTACTGGTCACCAGAGCAACAGAACCCAACTCCCTGTCTCCCTGGTTGCGATCCTCAAGGACTATGGGAATGCTCTATGGCACCTGAGGAGAATCCCTTGAAAGGTGGATGCCTGGGCAAGGGAGTAGAGAGGACCCGGAATTCCCAGCACTCCTCCCTAAATCATTGCCTTCTCTTCTCTGGCTGCAAGTCACCCAATCCAAAATAGCAAGTCAGTTTAGAAGGTAGGGCGGTCCTGGCTGGTGTGGCTCAGTGGACTAAGTGCCGGATTGCGAGGCAAAGGGTCGCTGGTTCGATTTCTAGTCAGGGTACATCTGGCTTGGGTTGCGGGCCAGATCCCCAGTAAGGGGCGCACGAGGGGCAACTACATATTGATGTTTCTCTCCCTTTCTCCTCTCTCCCCTCCCCTCTCTCTAAAAATAAATACATAAAATCTTTTTAAAAGTAAAATATATTTTTAAAAAGTAAAGAAAAAAGATAGGGCAAGGCAGGCAGGGAATGAGCCAGGTGAGGGCCCCTCCAGCAAAAATGAAAATCTCAGATCTAGGGAATCAAGGGATTGATTGATTGACTGATTGATTGATTGTTCAACTATTCCACCTACCACTCTCCTCCACCCCACCCAGGAGGAATACATTTAAAAAGCTTCTACTTTCATTTTGCTATGGGCTCCTGATTTTAACAGGTTTTTTCCATAGTTGTTTTTTTTTAAGATTTTATTTATTTTTAGAGAGGGGGGAAGGGAGGGAGAAAGAGAGGGAGAGAAACATCAGTGTGAGGTTGCCTCTCACAGGCCCCCTATTGGGGACCTGGCCTGCAACCCAGGCACATACCCTGACTGGGCATCGAACCCAGATCCCTTTGTTTCCCAGGCCAGCACTCAATCCACTGAGCCACACCAGCCAGGGCTCCACAGTTATTTTAATAAAGAGTCCTAGGTTTAGGAACAGTATAACTTACAATGAAAGGAAGCCAGCCTATTTCTCTTAGTTATCTAGAGTTGAGACTTGTACACTGTTAACTGTTTCCATGGTGGTTAAGCAGCAGGTTAAAAGGCAAAGGTCAAGGGTGGAAAGAGTCAGCCCCTGGAGAATCAGTCTTGCATTTTGCTTTCTTCTTCTTTTATTTTTTAAAAATAACTTCATAACCCTGGCTAGTGTGGTTCAATGGATTGAGTGCCAGCCTGCGAACTGAAAGGTCACTGGTTTGATTCCCAGTCAGAGCACATGCCTGGACTGCAGGCCATGTCCCCAGTTGGGGGCGTGTGAGAGGCAACCACACATTGATGTTTCTCTCCCTCTCTTCCTCCCTCCCTTCTCTTCTCTCTAAGAGTAAATAAGTAAAATCTTTTACCAAAATGTAAAAATAAAATAAAAATAACTTCAAATGTAAAAATAAAAACAAAAGGTTGTTGGAGTCTCACCCAGATACCCTTTCCCAGCCCTGCTGGTGGGTTCGGCCTCATCTTCCAGATCTGTTTTCTCTGGAGTATTGCCTTTGGCTGACAGGAGGCAACTCACCTAAAAATTGCCTGGCAGATCACAGCCCCACCAAGACAGGTGTTCAGAAGGCCAGCCCTTTGTCTTGGGGTAACTCTGGGACTCAATTTGTGTTCCAGGGTCCACCCACATATCAGGTCGAAACTGGACTTGGGCCCCGGGCCCCCAGCCTTGCACGGCCTCGTCCCCTTCACGGGTCTGCCCCCTCACTGCCTGAGAGGCTCCTCCCGCAGGGGCCTGACTCCCTCTGCAGATCACGAGCCTGGAATCCCCTCCCCAGGCCGTGCTGTCCGGGAACCAGCCTTGAGACAGACGATTGTGAAAGTAATCTCCATTGTCGTAGAAAACTTTAAAACTTCGAAAAACTGTAGGGAAGAACACAGATTTCCTACAACTGACCCATAACCACAGTTAACATTTTGGTGACCCCCTTCCAATTTTTAAAAATAATGCTCATATTTTAAGATAGTTGACATCAAATTTACGTATCATTTTTATCACGCTTTCTTTGCATTTCACACGTGAGAATTCTAACATGTGTGCCAATGAGAACTTTTTATGCTACAAATAATTTAAAATGCCTGACTCAAACTGCCCGGAGCTAGAGGGAGAATTTATTGGCTCTATCGCTGGGCAGGCCCAGGGACATGTGACTTCATTCCCTGTCCAGTTCACTGTCACAGCATCATCTGGGTTCCAGCTTCATTCTCTGTGGTCCCCTTGGCTCTGCTCTTCTAGATGCTTCAGCTTTGGTCTCCGGCTGACTCTGGGCATGGAGCAAAAGCAAGTGTAGCATATGTGCAAAATGATATGTATTGGAGGAATTTGCATTGCAAGTGTGTGCAAATCAACTAAATGTCAATCACTGGAAGGATGTTTCCATTAACAATGGACTATCCCCAAAATGGAATTCCATGCTGCTGTTACAAACAGACCCATGTGTATAACTGTGGAAAATCTCCAAGAACATCAGTAAGTAAAAACAAGGGAGGCAGAGAGTAGAGAGCCCAGAGGGCAACATTTGGGGAGGAATAAAAGACACACTTGCGTGTGAGTGCTTGTATTTGCACAGAGACTCTCTGGAAAGACACACAGAAGCTCATGGCTGTGATTTCCTCTGGAAAGTGGAATGGGGTGGGGGTTGGACACGGACAGGGGAGAAGGCTGACTTGCTTTTCACTGTAGACTACTTCATGCCTCTGGAATGGTAAACCGCATGAATTTCCCATTCAAAAACAGTGTTTATGCTTTTTTAAAAATGGCTGCAGCCTTTCCAGACATCACATCCTTATTGTCCAGAGGAAGACAGAGCCTCTCTTCTCTTTACTCCCTGGGAGAGCAAGGACACTTCCTCTCCAGAAGCCCCAAGTCTTCCTCCTCCTTTCCTTTGGCTGCAGTGACGCACTGGCACACCTCTGACCTCACCATGGCAGAGCATGGGATCCTCGAGTGAGTGTAACCCCACTGACTAGAGCCGAGGGTGGTGTCTGTCCCTCCCAAATTGCACAGTCAGGAATGGAACTTTGATTCCTGAATCCTGAGCCACAGTGTTAGCTCTGAGAAGAGGAACGTGGTTCAAGTGCGGCCTACTGGAGTCCATCTGAAAAAGAGCCTTTCATTGCTCTCTAGTCATGCAGTTATAAGGAAATGATCCTAAATAAAGCTTCTAGAAGTCACTACCTCTGATATGGAGGCAATCCCCCCAAATTATGCCACCTGCTTGGAGAGAGAAGCTGGAAAGAACATTAGCTGAATCAAGCCTTTAATTCCTGCCAGTATC